ACACAGTAATCTCGTGCGTGGGAAATGAACGTCTCCTACCCCTAACCCTGCAGGAGACGGTACGTCCATTTATTCGTCCCTATCCGAGAAGACTAGAATATCTAAACCATTTCTTGATGTTATAGGAAGGCAGCATATTCTTCCCAATTATTTTAAGACCTGAGTGTTGGTCCGGCCGAGGCTCGAACCCTCGACCTTCCGCACATTAGTCCTGTGCTCTATCAATTTAGCTAACCCGGAGGTGGTTAGCGGTTGAATTGCGGTTACAGAAACGCATATGAGAACGATCTTCGCAGTGAGCAGCACTATTTAAGCAATAGTGAAATTAAATATATGATTCTCATATATTCTTAGCATTTGACTCATCATCTTACGGGTTTCTTACGAATCACCATCATGATCAGCTCCCAGTTGGCTTGTTAGCTGAGTTGGTAGAGCACTGCACTGGCATCGCAGAGGTCATGGGTTCGAATCCCGTACAGGCCTGAATTTTTTTCAGGTCTTAATCACACTATTGCTTAAATAGTGCTGCTCACTGCGAAGATCGTTCTCATGTGAGAAAGCAGATTATTATACAAACATCAATGAAATACCAGTTAAGAATTCGCGCGAAAACGTGATATCTTCACACGTGCAAATATACTATGGTTACATAATAAATCGCGCCTTTCGCAGCGAAAGTGTTAAGATGTCGTATTTCGTTGGTGTTTTTGTAATAAATAAAATATAACGTGGCCGCATAGAGATAAGAAATTTATCTTCGAGTGTTGAAAAATATTTCTCTAGTGAGCGTCGCTCACTCGTAAAATATTTCCGCGCGGCAATGTAATATCCTCTCTTTCTTTTTGTGCAGGAATCAGGACATAGTTTTTACTAATCAAGAGTGAGGTCTGCACTGTAAGTTACGAACCAAGTTTTTTCTCTCTTCGACTTATGGCCCAAGCGTATTGAGTGCAGGTCGTAAATCGGGGGGAGAAAAAAGAGAATCTGTAACCTGCAGTAGGGACCTGAGAACGAGAAAGTAGGACTCAAATGTCTTTTTTGGGGGGCTTGGGAAACAATTACCACTCACGCGGTACTACTTGAATGATCTCGTTGTACTTCGAAAAGAAAGCGAGTCATTACGAAGTCTGTACATCCCACTTCTTTTTCTTGACCGTTTGTTTATTTGTTTCTTTTGTTATGCTGTTGGCTTTTTTTTTGTTTTCTTTTTTTCTTTTTTTCTTTTTTTCTAACAATGTTTAAACCTCCGAGGAAACTTCTTGACTTGCAATGTGCAAATATGTCAACCAATCTTCGATTTAAGTTTTGCGAAAACCTGTGAAGTGTTAGGACTGAAACAGTTTTGAAGCAATCAACATGGTAACAAAAAGTTGAATTTTTCTTTTGAAAGATGCTCCCCAAGAAGATAGAGTTTTTCGGTCATCCTACAGATGAGAATCGAAATCGCAGCTGTGTAACCTCGAAGACGTTTTTAAAGTAACAAAACTATCACTAGTTTTCCAATGATTTGACTGAAGTCCTTTCACAATTGTTGTTACAGGCGGCAGTTGATGCATTTAGAGACTTTTCTTCAGTTGATCCAGACTTAATCTGGCTGAGTTTAAGTGACCTGTACTGCCCGGAAGGACTTACTCCACCTCATGAAACATTGCGGCCGGTCCAACTGGCAGGAGTTGTTCCACAAAGCAAAGAATATGCTGAGAATGTGAACATTCTGTTATCCACCCTGTGAACAGCAGAGGCCTAAAAA